CCGGTCGCCGCGACGCGAACTGCCACGGCGATATTTGCGAGAATCGTCCAGGACAACCGCGACGTTAAAGAGGATCATAATCTCGACAGTCCCGAACGCGTCGAGATTCACCGTCGATGTTCAGCTCGAGGACGTTTATAACGAAGTCTCGCAATAACTGTTCCCCGCGACGGGAGGGTTCATAACGACTCGTGTTCATGCGGAGAAGGTTCACGATAACTCTCGTTTACGACGACAGGGTTCATTACGAGGGGTTTAACAACGATTTCCTTTCGTTACGAGACAATTTACGAGAGCATGGTTCTTGCCCGATCGGCTCGAAGACGATTCTCGTAATGTTACGAAGTTTGGGTCAAGAGGGTTCGATCTTACTTCGATTCGAGATTTGTATAACAGAATCTTGAAGCAGAATTTTATAATAATTCTAATTTGCAATGAAAATACAATCTCTGCATCGCGATGAAAGTAATGATTCTTAGAAGGAGTACGTGTCTCGTAAGTTGAACGTTTCTGTTTCATAGAAAAGATCAAGAATATCCCGGAGCCGCGCACAGTGGTGTATTTGCCCTGAAAAGCTGACCAAAACTATTTTTACCACTTCTATGCACTTCGTCTTTGGCATACACATTAATGTAATAAAATAAAAATAACAACTTTAATTAAACCTGACATGAATAATCTGTTAAACGAAAAAAATGCGACGCGATACTTGGCAGCCAATTCTTTTTCCATTGTTAACAGAGACTCGCTTGTAAATCTAAAAATTTCTTTCATGAAAATTCTGCAAATGGGAAATATCACGCTAAACAATACGTCATCTTCAAACTCGAATAATTGCAAGCAGACAAAATAGTGAAAAATGCAATGTATACTTACCTAAAACTCTGTAAAGTAAAAGTGAATATAACATCGTCACGCATAAACGATATTTCAGAAACGGATGAAAAGCAAAATCAGTACTACAAAAGTGTTTAGTTTCGATGCAAAACAAAGCGTCGCGAGTATTGAAAATAAAAAAAAATAATACCGATACAATATCGTTCATATATTAACTCCGACAATGAAAATTGTACGTCCTAGACGAAATTTGAAAAATCATATTTTGGCTGGTTTTTTCGTTACGAATGCTTCACTGTGCGACGTTCATCTTACGAATCATTGGTGTAGCGTATCTCGCGATCACCGGAGAACGGCACACGCGACACTCGGTCTCTGGACGGATCGCGTTCCGCGCGATCTCCGCTGGATCAGCCAGTTGCGGTACGCGCATACGTGTAAGCGCACGCTCGTCGCGCGAGAGGTCTTGACGCTCCGGGCATTTCCGCGGTCGCGGAAAATTGCTAGTTCGACGTAATCGTCCGCTGCCACTTTACGCCGTGTGTCGGTCCTATCCACGCGCGTCTACGCGTACGTTCGTTCGACGGTTGTGTTCGACGATGAACGGTTCGCGAAGTTCGAATCGTGAGCCTTGCGAAGTGCAGTTTCAGTGTCGGTGATTTTCGATATTCATCAACGAGTGTCTCGTCGAGAAATATATACTCGCGACGACCAATGTAAACCGATTAAATTCAATTTCAACCGTCCGCGTGCCATTGTGTTCGCCTTGACAGAAGTCCCGACGATTGGAGGAGGTGCGGGGGAGGTATCGTCGGAATCGAAGCACGTTTCAGCTCGCTCTCGAGGGTCGTTTCGATTCAATTAAGCCGCGCCATCGATCGCTAAATCAGGGAACTGCGTAATTAGCATCGCGAGTCGTAAAAGTTTTATTGTCGCTCGGAGAGAACGACGTGGGGGAAGGGGGGAGACCGGACGGATGAAACGTTACCGGAGACCCTCTGCAGATACGATATCTACGAGATCGTCGGAACGGATCTATCTCCCCGGAGCGATGTAAATATTTACGAGGAATATCGTGGACTCGAGAGCAGGCTCTGGCGTGGTTCGCGCGCGGCACGATCCGCTGCTCGCAGTATGTACGTGGATACGTGTGAGATCACGTAGATCGGAGCTGTCGTCGCGTCCGTGAGAAACCTCGCCGGTTACGCGCGTTTCCACGTTCGCGAAGAAATTCGCTGGGGCCCATTGGATCCTCTTCGAAACACCGCGATTCGAAAATCAATTTTTTTTGTTTATTATTCATTCGAGGACATTTATCGATTCCCTAATCTTTTGTGTCTGTTCGTTGCTACAAAAATTCAACATTAAATTTGCACAATCTTGGGACCGAGCTTCAACGACGTTATTTAATAGAATATTCATTACATATTATCTCGTGTTCGTAGCGACCTATTTCGTATTATCAAAAATAACTTGTAATTATGTGCTTTTGTTCAAATTCAATATCTTAACTATCGAATTACCTCTTTTTATAAAACTGGCCATTGTTTGATTCCAAAAACTTTTTGATAGTGTATATAATCGAATAAATCAGGAATTGGTTATAACGACTAGACGAATTGCATCATCTTCTCACAAGCAAAAATTAAGATTAAATTAAACTGTGTCCCTTACAACAACTTTTATGTCGACTACATGTGTTCAGATATTTGGTGGAATTTGAACGAATCTCCAATTATAATTAACCCGTATTGATATATTATTGACATCGTATAAGAATCATGTATTCTATATAGGTAGTTTTGCCAATTCGCACAAGGAAAAGAATCTGCGTATCTGCTCCGCTTGGCAATAACAACATTGACTATTCAAGGTGGTCTGGAAAGACGTTTCGTCGGTGTACCTTTCGTCCGTTACAAAACTTCTGAATACATTTCCAGGAGTTTCGTAAATGTATTCGAAACTGTTTTGTCGCATTGCATTATCTTAAATTCATTATCGTCTTTCAACTGCCTAAAGTGACTCTGATACGGGTTTGCAGCGCGAATTAAATCGATGTCTCGGACAAAAATGAAGTTTTCTCTTCAGTTTTTCGCAAACTTTACGTTCGAAGAATTCCTATAAAACTCCCTCGAATCGCTAGAATTAATTCTAACATATCGAATACTTCAAAATTTATTTCGAAAATTCATTTCTTTCCGATGTTGGAATTTTTTCACTTTTCTATATTTCAATTCATGTTGATGCAAGAGATAGTCATATTCGTGCCCAATAAAAATCTATTTACGTACAAAAAAAATTAATCATTGATAATAGAAAAATTTGTATAGCTTGACAATATGTAACTAAATATTGACGCGTCCAATAGTTTCCTAACAACAAAATCTCATGGTTTTCAAGTTCTGTAGCTCCAACCTACACACGGACCGTTTGAATAGGCAAAGGCTACTAAAACGGCCTAATATTTACGAACGATGGCGTGCATTTGCTAAACAATCGATTCCGGTGATCTAATCCGTTAAATTTAGCTACAAGGATACCGGGTCTGAGACTCCGGAACATCACCACGACGTTCGTTCGAAAATACGCGCGAACTACCGCCTCGAAATTTCATGTATCGAGTTTCACCGTCAGGCTTCGCCTTCTCCCCGTACGGAGGAATAGTTGAAATTTATGTTCTCCCAGCGGGGAAGGTACCGAGCGAACCCATAATATCCATCGACAAGCATTCTTGCCGGTCTTTCGATCGTCCTCTAACGGCAGTGCACGTTAAACCGCGAACGCAGCTCGCAGACCACGTGAGAACGAAGCCGGACATCTCTTCGGCGCATAGCTCGAGGGAGGATAAACGACCTCTCGGTCCAGATCAAGATTACACCGACGGCAAAACCTCGCGAGATCTCGTGTACAACTCTAATTTAACTGTTGCACACCGTTGTTCCCGGCAAAGTCCCCTTTCGTCGCGTCGCAGAAGAAATTTAGGCTGGCTTCACATCTCACTGATTCCCATTCGCGCACAGTGTGAATCTTCTTTCAATACTTTAATATTCGCTATTAATAATCTAACATTTTAAAGATAGATAGATTTTAGTCTATTTGTAATGTTTCAACTTCCCAGATACAGTAATCATTAGACTGCCGGATCTTTGGAAGCTTTGTAGAGAGTTGTCTCAACCCCTAAATATAATAATTTGTATTTCTTACATTTTTGCATATTAAGTGCATTTTGTAGTTTCTTGAGAATTAGAATTTTCTATAAATGCATAAATATTCGAGTCTAGTAATGATTCTTAAAATGAACATCATTCTGACGCCAATCAGGGGTAGAAACGTTTAATTTACGAATCATCGAGCATCTTTCCCGGTTTGCGAGAACGCACGATGGCCGATAAAACGATATCGTCGCGGAGGAAACGTCGAATTCTCGATTCGCGTACGCGCGTTGGGAAATCGAGGTGCAAGACAATCGAGCGTTTCGTAATGGCTCGCGACGCGGCATCTGGTTGCGTCGACGCGGGAAGCTTCGAGGCACAAAGGATCCTCAGAAACGCGAATTAACCGTTTTCCTGGGAGAGAAACCGCGCGGTGAAACGCAACCATTGTGCCCGTTGGCTATTGACGCACCGCGACGCGTTCGGTTTAACGCTGATTCGTGGCCCACGCGTGTCCGGCAATCACTGGCAATTCACGCGTCGTCGTCGTTATCGTCCCGCGACCGTGACGATACGTCTGCGTCGAGGGCTCGGATCTTCCCACGAGCTCGGAATACGAAGAGACGGTTTGTTTTCGGAGCAAACATCGCGCCTTGGTTCGCGAAAAATAACATTTCGCCTCGATAATCGACGAGACATCGACAGAGCAAATGAAAAATGACGATCGAACGTAGCTAATGGGGTATCTTTTTTTGCAGCGATAGGGATTACGTAACGTCGTCGCAGGAGCGGATAATCTTCGACCGATTGCGATTAGTCGGGTCACGTGACGCGTCATCGTTTAAGCGTATTGACAATATGGAAAGTTCCTCCGTAGGAAATATGTGCAATTCGTATATCTTCGTATTTTATTTTCATTCTGGACGATACGGTTGCCTGTTGAACTTGATCTCAGCCTTGGAGTTATGATACTCATACATCAAATAAATGTTTTTAAAATAGATACCTCTACATAATTTATTACAAAATAAATTAGAAAGAAATTTTAAATAGCGTTAACCTTTACGTAGACAATCTCAAGTGAATTATTTTACTTAATGCTGATTTTGGTAAATGGAAATCAATTTTTCTTTAGACGTTTCAAAAAATAATGAACTAACGGAGGATTACACAAACTTTCAAATGATTGACATATATTATACAATATTAGTTTAAACTTCGTTCAGATATATTTCATACAGCAACATTTGTACGTAGACTCGATATGCGATATAACAATTGTAGTGGTGCAGTTTAATTAACTTCACAGATCATTACTCTGATAAGGCAATAATGCACGTCGGCTGGTGCTAACCGATAAACATAATCCAAGGATCGCAGTTAATCGGTGGCGATGGCAGTGAGGTTTACACGACGGACTTTGAAAAACAAAACAGGAATTGGTTGCGTGCTAGAGATGGGAAAAATTCTTACGTAAATAAAGATTTCGAGCGTAGAAATAAATTTTGCTGATCAAATAAATATTACGAATTAATTGTTGTACATTAGTCTTACTAAATACATATATATAATATGTATAAAATATAGAATACAATGGTAGTTTTCCGGACACGATTTGGCTGGCGTGTCTGTTCGTTACTTGCTGTTTCTACTTATACCGGATGTTCACACTAACCAATATATTTTCAGATTCAATTTTCTTGAAAATCAAAGTTGTACTACGAATAATGAAATAACGTGCCTTTAATATAATAATTGCCTTTGCCGAATCAATTATGGAAATCCCACGCTATATTCGTTTATGACTGTAGATTCTAATTTATATCATAAACCTTGTTACCTAGATTTGTCCAGGAATTCCAAACGGTGAAGTATAAAAACGTCGATCCAAAGTGAAAGTATTCTCTGCAACGATGAACGAGTCTCGTTGCATATAAGAAATTCCCCGAGCGCATTTCTCGCGTGTCTCCTCTTCCATTTATTTGTCCGCCGGCGGAACAATTTACGCGACAGATTAACGGCGCGCGTGGATATCCTCCGGTATCGATAAGAATCTGGTCAGGAATCGGTCAGCGCGAGTCGTGAGAACTTCGATCGGCACTGATTTCTCCGGTGTCATTGAGAAACCATACTAGATTTTACACGGCCGTATCTAATAGCCGGTCGATCGAAATCCAGTACCAGCTTGAAACACGAGACGCCACCGACGGAAGTACCGGTCGAAGGGTGAAAAGGGATAGAGAGGGGAGGCAGAGGTTGGTAATTTCGCGTGGGCGTCGGGAACTAGTTATCGAAGGCTACCAGGTTCGAATCGAGAATGGCAGGTTCGACCCAACGCGGAATTCCCCATCGGGGAATCACCGGTTTAATTTAATTAAAACCATGGCGAATCGCTAAACACCTGATCCATCCATTTTCATTAAAGACACTGCCTCGGTTTATTACGATCGCTCTTCAAATGATACGAGTTCCAGTCGCGTCCATTTTTCACCGGCCCGCGAAATCAATCATTCTTATTAATTGTACGCTGTGCAATTTCGGTGTCAAATGAGAATAATTACGGTTGCAAATCGTTAACAAGAATAGCTTTCTCGCAGCCGTACGCCGACCGTTGGAACGTTGAAAGCTAACAGGGCGAGAATGATGTATCGTTTTTAGCGAAATAATTATTGGGAATCGTAAACGAGCGATTCTATTTACCTTATTTTGAATTTATAAATCTTCAATATGTGGTCGATTTTAGACTTTTTTCAATTACGCTACCAGCGTCACAAGTGCGTGTCGGTTTGTAAAATTACTAATTCCCATTTATTTAACGTCCTGGTAGCGAACGCGTTAGCATATTCTACCGTTTTACAGCGAATCGTCTGGCGGTAGACTACACGACGCTTACAAGCAATTCAAACCGACCCGCGACACTTATCGGTTCACCGTAATATGTGAGCATCATTAGACCCTGGTAAATGCAATTCTCCTAATTGCTACAGTATTACAATATCGATAAATTCCTACTTGGTACATATTTTCTTCCCAATACAAAAAACTTACGAATCGAATTGATATCAAACTTCGCTAGACATCCTGCGAATGGGTTACACAGAGCTAACTTAAGATTGTCCCGCTTGGATTATTTATATCTTAAAAAGTGTCTACTCTTAAAAGGGATCACTCTGCTATCTTCCTGCGAGAGCACATTAAAATCCAAGCGGTTCGCTGGGAAGAAAAAGCTTCGACTCATCGATTCGCGTGTCCTCGTTCCCCCGCGAATCGATAATCGCTTTCGAAAGGATCTGGTGGGCCTATCTGCGTCAAGTCACGCGAATTCGGGGCGTGGATTCGCGAACGAATGGTTACGCTTTCGAGTGTCACGCGCCGAAGATATCCGCCAAGGACGCGGTTTCGCGTGTCGTCCGCGTTTCAGTGGCGTGACGGGAGCACGCGGGTCCGTCGATTCCGATTCGCAGAACTTATTCCAGGTGACATCCGTCGATGCAACGTCGAAGTAATTAGGAGACGAGGCCTCGGCGCGTGCGTCGTAGAAGATCGTTTCGACTAAGTATGCTGGCTCGAAAGAAAACTGCAGACGGTAGTGCACGACACTCTGTCGCAATTTGCGCGTCGCGCCATCGACTATTTATGCGTACGAAACGACGCGGATGACTCTGAGAGCGTGAACGGAGATCAACGATCGCGAGACGAAAAGAAAGAGAAAAAGGGACTCGTGACGTTCGACCAGGCGCCATTCGCGCGTGTCTTCGTCTTTGGTCGCTTCCTGGGGCAAGTTCGACGCGTGGAATGCCCGCGGGATGAAGGCAAAGTTGTCGCGAAAAGAGCTGGACAGCCTCTTCAGCGAGGTATGGTTCGAAGATGGAAACATTACTGGGTTGCAACTTTCGAGACTTAGACTAGTCAAATTATATTAACGTGTCTCGAAATAATAATAATATTAACATTTCAACTAATAGAAATTAACTTTAGTGCGGAGATTCTCTTGCTCGATTGGCAGTTTGCAAAATTAAATTACAAACGACTTTACGAGTGAAAAAATCTAGAATTTTAAACGACGAAAGGATCGTTGGAATTTAAGAAACAGACAACACTTTTGATAAACACAATTTTAGATAAATTCGTAATCTCACGAATAAAATTAACCCTTCAGTGGATTATTGAGGCCATTCCAAGGGGCAAGTTTAAACTAATAATTGTTTAATATATATCAATATAATTATTGTTTTAAAGTTGATTTCCATGTATCAATTTAATAAGAATCAACACTAAAAGTAAAATAATTCAGTTGAGATTGAGAGTCCACTTAAGGGTTAACAATACACAGGACAACAAACGTTTATTTAGAACTTTATTATATTGATAAACGACCTGTATGTAGAATTTGCTAGAGTAATGTTACTAATGAATCCAATTAGTTGAAAAATGTTACGTATCATTATGAAATCATGAACTTGTACGCTCAGTTTGTTATCTCAGCTATTTTGTAACGTTGTACTTATCCGTTAATCGACGTGTCGACATTCAATTCGCGTATTGAACTTGTCCTGCATCATTAGTTTGACATAGACAGATCGATTCGTGTATGCAATGATCGCTAGTGAAATTTACAACTGCGCTGAATTCTTTCTACATTGTCGTGTTCCACTTGGCTCAACAATCGAGCAATTGATTTGTTGACACTTTGCGTTCGTATAAATATTTTCGTTCGCGTATAATAAAACCGAACCTTTCCTAAACCACTTAATACCTGGAGATAAGAAATGGATTTTGTACAACGATCTTCAGGGCTTTTTAGTGGGTAAACAATTTGAAAATGTCAACGTGCTAAAGCAGAGTAATAACGTAATGTTTTTAGTTACAAAATACTATCAAGCTATTAAAATGTATTGCGATGAGTTTTATTCTTGTCGAAATACACAAAATAGTTTGAGGCGGTTAAATAAATATAACAAATAATCGCACTTGACTCTTTCTTCGATATAATGTCTCGGTTGTATTCACCATTAAATCGATTATCGATTTTAAATCATACTTTAGATTTAATCGAGATATCTTTGTCTCTGATATTCCTTCGTTTGATGTTTTGTGATTTCGTAACATTTTGTCATGTGTTACTTTTCTGCGTTATTTTTACGATATTTTGCTACCATATTTTTGAGCAGTACAGATTCACACGTAACATCGATCAAACGTTCGTAAATCTTTCTCGTCGCCCGAAGAGAGTAATATAACCTTTCCGTTGACGTTCGTTTCAATATAAATAATCGGATAGAACTCGATCTTAAGCCTGACGAGAAAACATGCTACATACGAACGGTCATTTATCAACCTCAGCCTCTGCGGTTCTATAATTAAATTCTTTCCGTGCGGACGTGTCACTGTAAAGTACGCGTAACATCAGATAAGCGATATTTTCCTATCGAGATCTCGTATCAGCCTTTTTGGAGCAACACTCTAGCTAATTGATTCGATATCGACGAGCCGTTTCTAATCTCCCTCGACGTAATTAACAATAATTCGATATAGAATGCGCGATGAATCGATTATACGCGTCCGCGATCCTCCTTTTGTTTCACCGTGGAATTAATTAAGAACCGAACGACACCGCGTTCCCTAATTGTGCCGCGAGCACGTTGCTCCACATTCCCATGTGTGTTTTCCTTTATCGACGCCGTGGTATCCGACCATCGAAATCACGCTGCAAGATCAACCGTTATCTATCACGTAATTCCCGCGCGGGGAACACGGACGCGCTCGGTACAAACGCGAGCACGGTCGAGCGACTTACGAGCAACACGGAAATTGATTGCACCGCATTGACGCCCGTGCAGCCGAACGAGCAGCAACACTTCTCCCAGCCGGTCGAGTTTTTCCTCCTTTTGTCCCCGGGCACGGTCGACGCCGTGCGTTATTGCTTAAACGACGCCGTGGCAGCTGGGATTAGAGACAATTAATTTTTTACGACCTCGCGGTTGAAACGCTTGACGCAATTGCATACCGCCGCGACACGCTTTGCATGTTCGAATGGCAAAAGCTGGGCTCCTAACAATGTCCAGACGTCGACTCGTTCCACCTTTTACGACCAATCGACGATAAATTGGCTTGCAACTTTATATTCCTACGATTTTTATTACGTACGAGAGAGTTGTTGCTGTTGTTGGAAAGGAAAGGAGAGGGGATGTTCAGTTGAACGGTCGAGCATTTGCGAGAAAGGTGTGTTGTACCGTAGCCCTCTGTCTGCGAGCGCGGGAAGCGTCGCCGCAGGGTCAATAAAATGATATTTACTTTACGTAACAATTTGAGATGATAATGAACGGATAAAAAATGGGAACATTATATAACGATTTACTATGTTTATTCGATCAAAGAGCGTGCTTATTCAGTATCCAATATAATTTCGTTTTATGATTCGTATTGTCATTTTTAAGAATTTTTCTCGTAGTCTTAGCCACAGTTTGACAAAGGCTCACGTTTAATGGAACGGTCCTCCGCGTGTGAATCGACGTTATCAAACCGATGTGGCACACGGTCGCTTGCGAGTTACTTTTTAGGCGTGTCGCTGGGTTCTTGGAAGTGCATCGCGTTTGGTGCACGCTATTGACCCACCTATCGAGATAAAAACGCCGCTCTGCACGCTCGCGAGGAATTATCGGGCGTATAAATCGTAATCCCTTCAATTGTCACTATCGATGTGTACTCGAATCCAAACGTATCTTACACCTGAGCAGCCCAAGTATCTTCCACGCGACGTAGCGCCCGTGAAACTGTCCCTTTATGTAATCGCGTGTTTTCTTCCGTTCTTGTCGTCTGTTACTTCCCTGTTGCTTTAATTAAAACCACGCCTTTATTTACACTGGGAGTTGGTGATCGTGGCTGGTGTAAATGCGGTGTACCGTATCCGGTAAGCGACCTCCACGATCGACCGGATCGATATACCCGGAACGCCGGGAACGTATCTGTTCGATCTCGATCGTGCTGGATCACTCGAAACCGCTGGATCTCGTTCTAGAGACGACGTTTAAATCTTTACTAGCTTGCAGCTTGCAATTCGTGTGCGATCGAATTATTATTAAACAACTTATTTAACCAAGAGAATAAAAACATCGTAAAGGTGCTGTGTAGGTGGCTTGCTGTTGTAAGAATATGTGTATTTCACTATTTCTTAGTAAGCGTGATAGTAGGAGGAAAGTAAAGTAAAGAAGAGAATGGACGGTCGATTACCTACTTGTGAGAGAAACAAGAACGTAGCCCTCTGGTGGCGAGATTATTTAACATACTCCCCAATAAAGTGTCATAAGTTCTTTACTCTGAAACCAGTAAAGATATTGACTTCATCAATTTTGTTAACCAAGTGGCTAGTCTTTTAACAAATTCTATCGAGACGAAGAAAGAAGTCGATATCCCAGACTTTCTCAAATGTAATTCAGACACGGAACCACTTTCGTTAAACATAAAATGAGAAATTATCGTGTTCGGGATACGAAGTGGAGTTCCATCGTGGTAATAGAATAGATATGCTATTATCGACTTAACGGATTAAGTTGTTCGTCCACTCGTGTGCCATTGTATTAGGATTAGAGAGAAGGAAACTATCGGCGACCTGGATTGCTCGAATGCTCGGGGAACGGTCGTCGAAGGATTCGAAATCGATTCGCGGTTTGGTCGTCCGATCGACGCGTTCCTTTTGCCTCTGCAAAAAAAATCTCCACGGAATGCTGCATTTGTTTCGCCGCGAGAGCGAAGGATTCCGTGCTCGTTTTCGTACGTTACGCGAGGGAAGATTGATCGCTCCTGTCGTGAAACTTTAGCGCAACGAATGGAACGTTTCTAGATGTAAAAAGATGCGTGGAGAACGGATTTTTAAACGAGGTTCTGCGTCGTTGAATTCATGAGGCGCTCATAGAAATTCACGCGCGGATCGAAACAGAGAAGAGAAAGACACGCGCGTGTGTTCTGCGCAAAGATATACGGGGTGTATCGATCGAAGGAAGCCATCTAAATATTGTTTTTAATGATACGTATATTTTTTTAAACGATTTTTAAATTGAATTTTTGTCGTCATATTTTGTGTAAGTATTGTTTAATTGACGATCTTAATAAAATCGAGTTTAAAATGTTTAGAAGCGTTATTAATCGCGTGTTCGATGTTGTCAGTTCCGCCCTTTCGCTTTGTTTCTTCTGATTGGTAGGGAAGTCCCTCGAATGCGACGTAAGCTTCGTCACGGAATTGCCATCACGTTGTTCGTAGCTTCTTTTCCTCCTCGACGCTGATTCGTTTGGAATCCTCCAGTTCCGCGGTAGAAAAATACGTCACGAACGTGCTGTGACTTTCTATCGTGAAGAGGCAAATCGAGACGTCGAAGGGTGCTGGACACGGAATCGAAAACAGTCGGACCAGATGGCGTGGTTTCAGAAAAAGCGACCGCAATTCCTTCTTTCACCGAGCCGCGGCACTTTTGCGCGTAATTAACCGTCGACGTAACGAGAGAAATTGCGCTCATTGCGCCGGTAATTTTAAAGTAAAGTTTCTAAATATAAAGTACCGTCGAATGGACGCGATTTTATAGCTAAATAATTAGTAAAAATTTGATAATTTAACTTAACTAGAATAGTAGAGAAAATAGTATGTGTAATATTATTGTTACAAACTTATTCAAATTTACAAATATGTAACTCTTTTTTGGAGACCTTCTCTATTAAGCTTTTAAGCTGCTCCTTTCTTTTTTGCCTCGTCGATGGAAAATACAACAGAGTAGATTTCAATCATATTTTAATCTTATTTGCCATATTTCATTCAAATTATTTTCGAGGTGTATCAAGAGTAGCAAATGGCTAATAAGAATTTTCTTTTTATTAACACAAATATATTGTCTCTTGAATATTTGTTTGAAGAGACAAATTGCTTGTCCTTATCAGTGTTACTTAATTGTTTAAATTATAACGATAGTCTGTCAGATGTATTATAGGGGAAACGAAAGATCGGGCCTGGCAGGAGTTGCTAGTCATATTGGGTCAGACGTTTCACCAGTGGTTCGTAACCTGGAATTCACAGACCCCAAGGCCATTGTTAGATTCATAGAGAATTATTTAAAATTTATTTTTGTTACTTGAAAATATTAATTTTACCCTTTCGGTGTTTCGAAACGTCAACAGCTGTACGACTGTTGAACAATTTTTGTTTAAATCACTATTATGTTTTGTAGCAAAGAATTACAAGCTTTCCTTGCTCGATCAAAGACGGTAGTTCATATATCCAGCGACTCTGTTTGGAAGTTAAACGTCGCCATATTCTCTCGTACGGCGTGCAATTAATTTCGACGCTTTCGATTCTTCCGGCGAAGGGAGAATATCTCAATTTGAGCCAACAGAAAGGGAACGGTCGTTCGGTCGCGCGGCATACGCAAGCAGCTCCATTTACGCCTCCTATTATACTCTTGTGCTAATCGTTATTATGGCAGTCCGTTGCATAACTGCAATTACCGTACCGCGAGGAACAACGTTCTGTAGGATTACACCGTTGCACGCGATCTTCTGTAGTCTCAGAGGGTCTACGAACTCCGGTTCAAAGCGTCAGGTTGGCTATTTTAACCCCTGAATGTATATTTTTGGCTGAAACGTATATTGACAATCCACTTATTTCTCGTGCAAACGTTCGTCTAAATCCAAACTAATACATTTCAGATTACGAACTGAACTTTCGAATAAAGTGCACGACGTTTTAAGTAAATCATGGTATTTCGATAAATATATTACTTCTAACGCTCTTAGCTGTAGCGTCCAGTTCATGATTCGCTACGTTGCATCATTGTCAAACTTAAGCATTACAAATAGTTTATTTAATATAAACGTTGTAACTCTCAATTTGGATTCGTAACATCTCAGTCTACTCAGTCATCTTGTTCTTACTTTCCCGACTAATAAATAAATTTTATCGAAAAAAAAAACAGTTTAGGTTAAAGTATCTATATAAAACCGTCTGCAATGTGAAAATTTGTGACAGCTAGCGGGGCGTCAAAAACAATGGGCAAATATTGTCTTTCGTGGCGGTACTTTGAATTCTTTCGAAGAGACTGAGAGGGCTCTCGTTCGACCCGATATTTCTTCTTCCATAGCTGTTACCAGTCGAAGTCATTTGTTACGAAGCGTTTCGACTGTTCGCGAGTTCTATACAGTTGTCGCTGCGTCGTAGATAAATGCTCCGCTCGAAAGTAGTTTTTCAGTGGAGCGTGCAGGCCGATCATTTACGATACAATTGTTTGGAGGCAAATATCCGCGACTAATCGAAGTATGTCATCGTTGCGATATGACGTATAGGACCACGCGCAAGCGAATCGCTCGGTCTAATTCTTCTCAAGGATGCAAGTGTTCGATGGTGACAAACTGTTGAACGCAACGTCGTATTGTCACTGGATGACATTTCACTTTCAGATGGCAATCGTGCGTCTCGTTAAAATAATTTCCATTTTAATAGAATTTCGTACGTAATAAACCTATTCATTGTCCTGCAAATGGCCGAAACGTAATTTGAAAAGTTTCGTTGTCGCAGATTACCAAATAATTCGACTATCTTTGATACGTCTAAGAGCAGGGGAAGGAAAACTATCAGAAAATATAAAATGTCGTTTGATTATAACTGGAAACTGAATTTTTTGTTTTGTCTCGTGTTCCAGGGTGCTAGATTCCGGGATACCTCGCAGCAAATCCACAAGCAATGGCAGGCAGATCCGGCAAGAGCATTTCCAACAGTCGGCACTGTCACCACGGGTTCGGTTTCACCCGCTTCGGGGGAGATTTCGACACCAAATTCGACGCCAAGTCCGAGCCCTAGTCCGACCAATAGTCAACAAGTCGTTGTAAGTACTCCTCACCTGTCATCGAATCCTCTATTATTTTTTATCATTAGCAATATCATAGTTCAAAGATGGATTTCGGGTGTTAACATTATATTCTATGTGTTATGTACTTCGTTTCTTTTATTTCTCATCTCCTAGTTTAAAAAAAAAATTTGTTTCCGGCAAGATAACGTTCTCTCGATACAAATTGCATACTCAAGATCATTGAAGGTCCAATCCTCGCTAAATGAGGGAGAAAAAGAATTACAGAATCGCATATAACGAAATAAAAACCTTGAAGACATCTTGTAAGAAAGAAAAAAAAAACGAAAATTCAATGGTGTAACCTCAACGACCTTGAACGACCACTTGATTTAGTTTCGACTGTAAAGGAAGATGGAGCACAAAGGTCGAGCAGTTTTCCACTTAGCATTCCGTCCATTCGCGATTTCATCGTTCCTTCTGGCCTCTAAGAATTCGACCTTCAAACTTTCAGCACAACTTGATCGTAATTATGATCTGTTGAAGGTACACGTTTACTCGGCTTTTAATTAAACTTTCCCGGAAACTTGGAACTTATTTCATTGAAATATGGTAGCCTGTACAGTGTGGAAGCGTTTTCGAGGTACAGTGGAGCTAGCGAAGAATATTTCAATCATTTGCGTGCAACGAAAGGTTGAAAAAATAATCTGTTTAAATATCGAGAGAACTTTTATACGACTCGAGGGGAAACTTGAAGGGGATAGTTTCATGTTTCCGCTGGATAGGATCGATCTTGGAGCTGTATTTAAAAAATACATGTTAGAATAAAACTGGTTAATTACCCTCGTTTAACACAACGGCGATACTCTGACGAAACGTAGCGATTTTGATCAAAATTTTACAACTTCTTTTCGTGTAAAAATAAAAATCTGCTCGAGGTATGTTTCGAAAATGTTAAACTTGAGGGGGACGCGATAAGAACAAATGAATTTTTTCCCCGAGACGCGAATACCATCCTCTTAAGTGCAAGCTCAAAATGCACGGGATCTCCTAGAAATCTAGCCTCGTTCCTTCTTGGGGCCAATAAGGTTTTATCTGTCTTGTACACGAAACGATGAAATCTCGACGTATGCACTCCTTTCGGGCGTAAATCTCGGAAACTCTCCAGGGGTGTATCAACCGCCAGCCAGGGCGCACATGTGGGACAGGAACTGAATGCTTTCGTGCATTGTACAGACTGTATCGCGAGTTGACCACTGACAACAATTACACAATTAATTAAACGATATTTTGCAACGACAATTAAATTAAATTAAATGTTCAAAATGGTGACCATCGATATTTAGGTGTCCTGCTTGATGAATAAAATATTTTTATAATTTTATTAATTCTTACAGGCACTGTTTGCATACATTTTCATCGAATCTCGTCGTTATTGACGGTTTCATTAAAATCTTTTAATTAGGATATATATTCAAATTATTGTGTGAAATCAAATTGATATGAAATACGCTGGTTTCTCTTGTCGTTTCGTGACTAGCCTGTAATGCAATGGGAATGCAGATCGCGGAACGTTAAACGAATCTTTCGTCGCGCGTATAGGTTTTTCGAGTTACCATTTTGGTACCGTTGCTCCGATTGTCCTCCATGCGACGCAACCCTGTGCATCAGCAGAAAACATAGATGTACGCGTTCGCGGGTGCATACAACTAAACGCGTGGCATTGTTTGTGAGAGTCTATCGGTACGCGGGCCGTACATCCAATTGAACTGGTCGAGAAGTCGGGGTTGGGGGGCTGCAACCCCTGTCTACAGTGCTATTGTACTCCCACGGCTGTGCGGAGTTTGATTCTGGGTCACCAGGACTTAATGAGAAATTACTGGCTGTATATGGAGACTTCCGGGCGAACTCGTTACGTTGAAACTGATAGATTGAACCGCTGTAACGCTTGCACACACACACACCCATACCTTTTTTTTTAATTAAACCATAATTTGTAACGTGAAATGACTTTCGAGGAAAAAGCGTGGAGGAAAAATTGAAATATTACTTTGTCGGAACTTTAACTCTTTGCTGGATTACTTTCATGGCCGAGATGAACGACACAAAAATCATAAAATTATCTGCCTTTCTATAAATATAACTCACATCAGCGGCTGCAAATGTGTTTGGTTTAATAATTTGTTTACCATGAACTTTTCACATGTCGAGGGGTTAAATTCAATCTATCAGCGGCACGAACCTCATATTAGAAACAAAGTGATGTCATTGTAAAATGGAAGATTAAACGAACGTGTTTTCTTTCTTTTCTAATGTAACGTAATATGGGTTAGTTAAACCATATTTGCTGAACCTTGTTCTTTCATCCTGCTCGACACAGTATTTTGTAGACTTTGCCTGGTCGTTTTAATTCGTCGAGTAAAATCCTTAAATAAAAAAAAATGTACCAGCTTTCGCCGAGCTTGCGTAATATTTTCTTCTCATTCCTATTTATAGGACCTAACTTTGGAACAACCTGTACGCGGGCAGTGAACGTAAAATTCGTATCGATGCATCGAGTATCGAGCACGTCGAATCCAAATGGTTCGTTATAAACTGGATCGTTTCGAGCGCCAGATAAAATGTCGCAATCGTTCGAGTCGATCTTGTTTTTCATTCGCGGCGATCATCCGCGAGTCAAGGTCACCGACAAGCCTGATACCGTAATGCCGTTTCGGTGACATCAACGGCAATTTGTATGTTCCCGGAGAATCGTCGATGACCCATTCTTAGTTTTTGTCCGGCTGACCTAATTGAGCAATTGCGACGGACCCGTAGATTACTATCGTGCCCCGAATTCAGACATTCTCCACGGGAATAAAACCGCGCCGATATACGCAGTGGCGTCGATTAAACCAACCGGCCGTGCTCCCATCGAAATACCCAATTGGTGTAAAGTCCAATTGGATTATCGGCGGTCGTTCAATTGCACGTACGATTGCAGCTCGACGTTATTATCGCATTAACGTCGATTAGTCGGTGCCCGTTCGGCCTGGAACGTCCAAACAAACGTCAAAACGTTATAACACGACGGTACCGGCCGATTTAAGGGCTCAATCTGCCACGAGAACTACGGAATTTAATCATTCTCACAGAAATTCTCTATTTTAAACTTATTTTTTTATAAAAAATAAAAAGTTCTGCCTGGAATAGTTTTTCTTTAAATTGCCTCCGCGGCGTTCCAAGAAAATTCCATAGTCCATAAAGGGTGGACCGGTGAACGGTTGAAATCGATCGATCGATCGTATTAGCGATTCTCGTTCGCCATATTTGTAACATAAATAACCGTGCCGCGATCTATTAAACTCTCGATTTCTTTCTTTTTCTTCGATTATGAATAAATACTTCCTTATCTTTGCCTCGTAAATAATGTATTTATTTCTTGTTTTTCTCGTGTTGCCTGAACGAAATGTCAAGTCTTAATCGAAAATATTAAAACAATTTTATGGCATCGTGTATGATGACAGACCTAACTACAACCTTTGAAGTGCGTGTAACCCATAGCTTTATTCATACAACGAGGACCCAAAGCGATCTTGTGATACTACAAGAACTTTGTAACGAAATATGGAAAATTATAATATCAATACAATGTGAAACTTTCGTTTGAATAATTCTCTGGGTGCCTTACGATTCTGTGGCGTCGGTTCCCGCACTCGCCACCAGAGGGCTACGCTCTCGTCTCTCTCACAGGTGCTCGATCGACCGCCTATTCCTGCATACTGAATGTTCCATTTTTCCCTCCTGCTATCTCGCTAGCTTCAAACCACCCACAAACTGCTCGTGGAAATTGCTGAATGCCCAGTATCCCAGAGAGTTAAAAATAAACGTTCCCCAGGCGGCACGTTCCCTGAAAATTCCATCGTCCGTAAAAGGGGCGAACGGTCTTCGAAACCAAATCGATACCCATTAGCGATAGGCTTTGATCGGTCGTAGTCGGAAATCGGGGACATCGATTCGTTAGTTTCCTAACACGCGAAGAAGTCACTACCCCCGTCTTGAGTAGAGTTCCGTGAGTCGTTTTGCGGGGCTTCCCCGGCGCAGGTGAGCCCCGTCTCACCGGGTCATGATTAATCCTTGAACGTTTTTGCCGCGCGCAATACCCGGGCTCCTTTCGTACGGGCACGAGTTAATTAACCCACCGGGAGTTCCACGCTGGCGAGATAAACGGACAGGCGAGTCAATCTTTCGATAATTAACGTCTTAATCGGCCGATCCTATCGCAATTACTAGCACCGAATAACTCCTACGTATCGTTCCCGTGGATCTGACGATCCGAGGCTCCGATAAAAGCGAACGGGGCCCGCTCCTCCGTGTCCGGGTCAACCGTGGAAAGCAATGAATCGATGAAATTCACGACTAACGTTTCGCTCGCATCGCTTTCGCCCCGCTTGGAAATCGTCCGCTACTTATGGTAATGGCGGGGTAACAAGAAAACGGGGAAGCTCGAGGTCAAGAGGCCTCCGACCGGCTAAAAAAGAGAGGCACCGGGGTCCTTGAGAATCCTGCAGCTGCCAGTCGTCATCGGTTCATTGAACGGGGAGAAGACTGCCTCGCGTGTTCCAACGTCCTCGCCGTTTACGAATCGGGAAGGGGTTAGAAAACAGGGTTGAGGAGGTCGTTAGAAGCGTTGATGTGACACGGTGCAGTAGCGACGCAGCTGGACACCCGTGCCCCGTTCTTTTTTTTCTGAATCGTACGCTGTCGGTGGATGATAATGCCTCGATCGTTTGACGATCTATTTGCAACAGTCTCAAGAAGACCGTGAGCTACGAACAAGGTTGCCTTGTCCGCGAGCAAGACCTTACTGTAATACAAAACGATCTGTTTTAACCCTTAAGTGGATTATTGTGTTATCAATTATTTGAAAATTTATGTAATCCTCCACTAGCTCAAATGGTTTAAAGTAAAATAAAAAAGCATCGTATACAATGTGCTTGACATTAGTCGTAAAATAATCTCACCTACTTTAGTTTTCAAATATTTAATATCTTCGTATA